CCAAAACTCCTTGATATATTAACATAAAATGTCACATATGCAAATGTAAATATCCATATTTTATGATTAAGAAGTTTCAAGCCAATCAGAGAGTCGAGTAGCAGCCTCCTGGTGATTTGACCCCCCATTGAAAATCTGCAGACTTGGTCAAAAAACTACATTTCTCTTCCTGTCTGGAAGCATCAACCTTTTAAGTAGAAGCACACGTGCAGCGACCCATGTAAAAAACGCATTACGGCCTCGTATTCCGGCGCATGTTGGGCTGGGCGGCCGTGCGTCGTGGCGGAGGGTGTGTTTGTGGAGCCACATTACGGCCTTTTCCTCTCCTGAGAGTCGCCGAGGTACAAACGAGAAGCACAAGCACACATAGAAACACACCACACTGGCGGCTATAAATACACTCTGGGATGAAGTCACACTCGTGGATCGAGAGCACACACACACACACACACACCAACCGACATGAGGTCACCACACTCCAGGCTTCCCAACACAAACATGCCACGCTGAATTCCCACAGCAGACTGAAATAGACCACGTCCGCTGCCTCCAACACCTCAGAAACACACAGGCTGAAAATCCTGCCTGCAGTCTCCCCTCGTCGCTGCAACCAGCCAGCCAGCCTTGACCTTTCTCTTTTCTCTCTCATCCCCGGCACCAGGCATGAAATCTTTTATCTTTCCCTCCTTGGCACCTTCTTTCTGTGCGTCCAAGAATAGATATCTGCCGGTTTATATCCCCGCTGCCCTCTATAAAGACTCGCCGGGTTTACAGACTCCGCCGCTTCGCTCCGTTAAACCGTCTTCGGTTTATCTGCGTTTTAACAGTGAAGGCTTACTGGAGCCGGAGGTGAGCGGGCAGGTCGGGGCGACGGGAGCGGCAGGAAGGGACGAGGGTGGAGAGGAGGGACAGCTGGGCGACAGAGGCCTGGCGGAGGTGAAGAACATCTGGACGCTGTGGTGCTGGAGGACATGGCCGGGCAGAGCTGTCAGACACCTGGGTGGAGATAGAGATGAAAACTGGGCTTAAAAACTCAAAGAAGAGACGCTCTGATGACAGAAAACAATACTCCAACCTCTGATTTCTAAAAAAAAACCATCGTCAGCATTACAAGGCATGTTATCTTTTAAAAAAACACTAAAAGTACACTCTATGTTTAAGTCAGAAACTGTAAAATCAAACAAAAAACTCTGGTTTTTGAACTTTAATTGGAAAACTTGATCAAATCTGAGCTTAAAATCGTGATATTTCATCAAAATGACTTTATTCTAGATGCCTCTCTCTTTCTTGCACAAACAATATTCTGTACAAAAAAATGTAAAAAGAAAAAACAAAAAATCCCTAGCAACTCAACTGCCACTAAAAGTCAAGTGATAAAAAAAAATCAGGAACTTTTCGGCTGAAGTGCAGGCAGTGTTTACCCAGAGCAGGGACAAGAAAAGTATGAAAACAAATTCAAAAAGTAAGTAGTAAAATATCAATAGTATATACAGCTAACATGTTTTCTAGTGTTGGTAACACCTGGAAGACACACCAGAGCAGAGAGACTAAAACTGGATTTAAGAGATAGCAGAAGATAATACTTCAACTTCTGAATCCCAAAACCCAACTGTGGTATTGAAACACGCTACCTTCAACAAAATGTGTAATTATGAAGATTTTTTAAGAGTCAGAAACTGGAAAATAATGCAAAAATGAATTCTCCATTTTCCAGTGGTGCTTGAAGTTGCAGTTTAATTGGAAAACTTGATCAAATCTAAGCCTAAAATCACGATATTTCATTGTAATCCCTTTATTTTACGCGTCTCAGTTAAAAACTTGGCAAAAGTAAAATTCTTGCACAAACAATAGTCTTTAAAAGAATAAATAAATTCTCAACATCTCAGCGAAAACAGAAAATCTCTCGTAACTCAGCTGTGATCAACAGTCATGGGACAAAAGTTCAGGGACTTTTCGACTGAACTGCAGGCTGTGTAATAGAAGAAACTTCAAATTTAAGTAGTAAAATATCTACAGAAGAAGAAGAAGAAGTGATCTAGAGATAGATTCAAAGCTGTGGAGCTCCACTGAGGTCTGTAGCTGGAGTTTGTAAACCTGACGCTACGATCGTACAGGTGCAGTTCTCACCTGGGGTCCAGTTCTGTGGACTGAGGGAGGAACTTGTCCAGTCCGTCATCAGGAAACACCTGCGACAGCTGACAGAGAGAAAACAAACAGTGTTCGATCAGAACTGAAAGTACGCCGAGCACAAGGTGTCGTCACACGTCTACACTGATGGTACTGAACCAGGACACCTGACGTCAGACAGCAGAGGCAGTTTCAGGATGTTTTAGCAGGGTTCATTTTAAATAAGAGTGTTTTCAGTGGGTTTTCTTGTATTTGTAGTAAGTTTTATTGTACTTAAGTATGTCTTTATGTATGTTAGTGTATTTTGTTATCTTTTCATTGTGTTTCATTGTTTTTCAGTGTGTTTTTATTTTGTTCTTAGTTTGTTTTTACTGTATTGTATAGTGTCTTTCATTGAATTTCGGTGTGTTTAATTTTGTTTTAATATGTTTTTTGTGTATTTCATTATGTTTTCAGTTTGTTTTACTGCATTTCAGTGTGTTTCTATTGTGTTTTAGTGTGCTTAATTGTATTTTAATGTGTTTTCTAGTTTGTTTTAGTTTGTTTTAGTGAGTTTTCAGTGTCTTTCATTGCATTTCAGTCAGTTTTAGTATGTTTTATTGTACTTAAATGTGTTTTCAGTTTGTTGTACTGTGTTACAGTGTGTTTTATTGTGTTTCTGTGTGTTCTATTGTATTTCAATGTGTTTTTATTTTGTTCTTAGCTGGTTTTAGTGAGTTTTCAGTGTTTTTTATTGTATTTCAGTCCGTTTTAGTATGTTTTATTGTATTTAAATGTGTTTTCAGTTTGTTTTACTGTGCTACAGTGTGTGTTATTGTGTTTCTGTGTGTTCGATTGAATTTCAATGTGTTTTTATCTTCTCCTTAGTTGGTTTTAGTGTGTTTTCAGTCTCCTTCATTGTATTTCAGTGTGTCTTAGTGTGTTTTATTGGGTTTCAGCTGTGGTCCTGACCTGGGACATCAGATCTGCCACCTCCTGCTGGGTTCTGACCACAGATATCACCAAACCGTCGGACCAGCTCACCTGGAGGAGGAGCAGCAGAGACACAGAAGAGGAGGATGGAGTTAAAATGTACACAGAATTTGGAAAAAGTGAGCAGCAGACAGTGACTGAGCGTCGACATGTTTGCACTGAACTCACCTCGAACACATATTCGCTGCTGTCCTCTGACTTGGCCGTCACTCCTCTCAGCAGCAGCCTCTCAATCACAGCTGAAACAAGATTAATCACATGTCACATACGTGAGACGGCTGCTTTAGCACATCACTCACTGAGGCCTGATGAGCTTTAGTCCTGAAGGAATTCAGACTTGGCTCAGCCTCAACACATGATGAACCGAGTGGAGGGAGAATCACACGGTAAAGGTGAAGCAGTTTGAAGGACGGAGGTTCCACTGCAGAAATGTCAGAGCTCGGGGCTGAATGTTTGAACGTCTGAGCAGCAGAAGACGTGGCGTACAGTGTGTTCAACAGGGACCGCTGACAAGCTTCTGTGACTCCACGTCGACCGCTCAAGCAGGCGCTGAGATTTCTTCCATCTATTATGTTGCAAAATAATTCTCTCTATGTTTAACTGCGGGCTGCAGGGTGGTGCAGTTGGTTAGCACTGTTGCCTCGTAGCTAGAAGGTCGCCGGTGGCGTCCCGGTGAGGAATCTTTCTGTGTGGAGTCTCCATGTTCTCTCCGGGTTCTCCAGCTTCCTCCCACACAGTCCAGAAACATGTTGAGGTTAATTGGTGATTCTAAATTGTCCGTAGGTGTGAATGTGAGTGTGCTTGGTTGTCTGTCTCTAAGTGTAGCCCTGTGATAGACTGGTTACCTGTCCAGGTGAACCTGCCTTCACCCTGAGTCAGCTGGGATAGACTCCAGCCCCCCATGACCCTAGTGAGGATTAAGCGGTGTATAGATGATGGACCGATGGATGTTTAACTGCTCAGAAGATGTAGGATGTGACGCTCTAAAGTCAAACAACAGCTCATGAGACCTTTCAAAGCAGCACCACTCTCTTTCCTAAAAGCTGCTTGTCAACTTCAGTTCACTTTATGAAATATAGAAAACATTCCAACAAGTCACTAAAATTTACAGATTTACCGGAAAATCCTGTTAAATCCACCAGAAAAAGTGAACTAGCAGTTTAGTGGTGCAAATTTGATTTGTCTGACAAAATCTTAATCAACAACTATTTTTATTGTCCATCCATCCATCATCTATACATCTTAATCCTCACTAGGGTCATGGGGGGCTGGAGTCTATCCCAGCTGACTCAGGGTGAAGGCAGGGGACACCCTGGACAGGTCACCAGTCTATCACAGGGCTACACTTAGAGACAGACAACCAAGCACACTCACATTCACACCTACGGACAATTTAGAATCACCAATTAACCTCAACATGTTTTTGGACTGTGTGGGAGGAAGCCGGAGAACCCGGAGAGAACCCACGCTGCACGGGGAGAACATGGAGACTCCATGCAGAAAGATCCCGGTGACCCCTCGGGGGGCGAACCAGCGACCTTCTTGCTGCGAGGCAACAGTGCTAACCACTGAGCCACCTTGCAGCCCCATTTTTTTATTGGGTCAATAATAAAACACAAGCATCATATAGTTCATTGTTCCAGCTTCTCAGATGTGATGATTTTCTTCTTTTGTCTCTTTTCTATTTCTGTACAATGAACATATACATATAGAGAGCTTTTGGTATATCAGTTGGTATATCAAAATTTCAATATGCAGGAAACTGTGAAGGCGTTTTCCATATAATGCCAAATGTGTTTCAACTCACCCATGATCCAAGATTATTTGATCTATTTGTCTAATATTGTAGATTCTAAATCAATGACATGATGACAAACAACAGTGATAAATTCAAGCTTTTATCTTCGATAGTTTCTGAGATATTGTTGTTCAAACAGCCTTAAATTTCAGTGCGAGTCCCAGAGCATGATGCTGCCACCGCCGTGCTCGACTGAAGGTTTGTTCTTGGGGTTAAAGAATAGAATAGAATAGAAATACTTTATGTGTCCCAGACCTGGGACATTATTTATACACAGCAGCAGAAAGAAAAACACCACAAGTTAGAAAATATAGTCAATTAAGTCCACAAAAATAGAACAACAGAAAAAGACTTCACCGCTTGAAATACTTTGTTTCATCTAAACAAAGAACTTTCCTCAAAAAGGCCTTTTTTTTCTTTTTCTTTTCTTTTTTTAATCCAGCAGCAAACGTCCGTCGAGCGTTAAGGTGCTGCTTCTGGAGGAACAGATTTTATATATGAAGCTAAAATTTCACAGATAACGTTTGAAATATTTATAGTTTATGTTTGAAAAGTTTCAAACAAATCAGAGGTGCTCAAACAGAACTGATGATTTGAGATGGAAAAACACCTTTAAAGAAAAAAGTGCTATTTGATAATATTTAATTAATCGTTGATGGCTTTATATAAGTTTTCCTCAATAAATGACTCAAACGTACAGTTTGTCAGCCTCAGGTTTCATTCAATAACCTTAACTTCTACACTCATTTTCCTGCTAATTCGTTGCTGCTCCCGTTGCAGCTCCTCGCCTCTCAAACTATCTGCAACCTGTGAGATCTGAAGCCTCGAAGATCTGTCTGCTGGCCTCAGACCCGTGAACCACCTGATACTCCTCGACACACTTTTAGTCCGACCGAAATCTTGGCAGGGAGTCCGTGTGTATAAGCACAATGATTTCCAATCATCGCTTCGGGCCTTCGACCTCCAAAACTCTGCTCCCGACTGTTTGTGTTGGATTTAAAGTGCTGCTGCCGACACTCCAGACCGTTCAGGCAGTTACATCTTCAGAGTGTTTAATAATCATCCATCATCTTTACACTCTGGCACCAAAGCCTCTCATTTTCTCAGCTTTTAAAACTCTATTTCCACCGCTAACAGGCCAAATACAGAAAGGACCTAGAAGCTGGACTGTTTCTTGGTTTTTATGGAGAAGCCCACCTTTACAGACATTACGGTATAAACGAAGGACTGAAACAGAAACTGAGGACAAGCTGTTGAAAATAAAACAATGAGGAAACCGCAGAGACAGGATCAGTCAAACTTCCAAAAAAAAAGCAAAACTAAACTAAACTAAAAAGCGATAAAAGTTAAATAAAATATACAAATATGTATATAAATAAGGGAATAAATGAACAAAATCAGTGTTAGCAATAAATAAATACATAAATTCAACCAGAAGCCGGACTATAAATATGGACCTTTGAGGTTTCCATTTAAAAATATCAACACACAGCAAATCTGCATCATGTTTAATATGCAGTTGGAATAGTTTTCTTTATAAAACAATATTATTTTCATTTGTTCACAGTACCTAGTTTATTTCACACAAACAAACAAACAAACATGTATAAAATGATTATTCTTATTATAATTTCTAATAACTCTGACCTTGATATATTTTTTTAAAGTTTTTCAAAATAGTTTTGTTTGTGCGTGTAAAGTAAAATAACATAAGCTCCCTAAATAAGTTAAACTGGTACGTTTTAATAAATCTGAACCTATAAATGAGACCAAACACTACTTTAATATAATTTGTGGAACTTGGCTTCCTTGTAAACATCCATCTCCCGTGAAAACAAGCTTTTCTTTTTCTTTACCTTGTGAGATAAACCTGCTGTTGTAAAAAGGTTTAAGATCTTAACTAAAAGCACTCAGATATCTAACACCAGTGTGGCTACAATCTGTCTGTGTGTAGTTTAAAAGTCAGATTGTCGTGGTTGTCTCTTTGAATCAAGTATTTCCCAGTTTTTAAAGTTCTCTTCTGTTTTATTTAACCTTGTGAACATGCTGTTTTTTACACGCTGGAACAAAACTAAATCGTCAAACCCACAGCTGAACTTTTCCAATTCAATACTGCAGTGAACCAACGACATTCTCAAAAACACGGATTCAGACTTTCAGGGTTTCTGACATCACAAACCCAAAGAACCAATGGGATTTTCTGTATCTATATACTTTTACAGAATTGGTTAAAACACATGTGGCTGGATTACCGACATATCCCAACTGGACATTTTGCAGTGTTTGAGCAGAGATGAAGGCGAGCTGGTGTGCTGGAGCTGCAGCTAATAGAAAGGAATGAATGGAGAGAGGCAGGGACTTCATAGAGCTGCACATTCTGGAGGAGGAGACACTATTTTGAGTCACATTCAAGCCATTTAGAGGCATGAAGAGATTAAAAACATCCTAAATATACGACTTTAATACACAAGAGATGAGACTTTAGGGGTTAAATCAGCAACCAAAATAAAAAAAATCATTCAAATTATGCAATATGACCCTATAAATGACCATGTGGTGCACAAGTAGAAGCACCAGCAGAATGAAGCTGTTGCCCTCCCTGCACTATGAGTATCTTCCAGCACCACCCACAACAAGCGTGATAGTTGGAATTTAGGGGAAAGGAGAAGTCTGAATCTGAAAGTGTGGGAAAAACATGGTGGGGACCAGCAGACGTACCGAGACAAAGTCTAGTTCTTAGCCTCGGGTGCAGAGGCAGGTTCAGGCTGATCCACTGCTGCTCGATGCATGTCAGAGATGGAAGGTGAATCCGAGTTTAAATATACGAGTGTGTGTGTGTGTGTGTGTGTGTGTGTGTGTGTGTGTGTGTAGAGAAAAAAACCTGCAGGTATCGATTCAGACTCGTCTGACTGAACAAAAACTGTGTTTCCAACCCAGTCAGACGAGCAGCGACAAGCAGCAGAGAAAGAGGAGACGAATAAAGACACAGATAAAGAAGTCCAACTGTTTAAAGTGTGATTCCTTCAAAATGTATTGTTGTCTGACAAATTATTCTTTTTTTGTTAAATTATAAATAATAACAATGTATTAAATTTACATGTTAATCCATAAAACACAAGCAGAGCTGTAAATAATGTCAACATGAAAAAAATCTGTATTTTTACTTTTTTTTTTTTACTGTATTTCCTTTCGTAAAAACAACATTATTTTAAAGATTTTTGATATTAGATGAAATAAAATGAATACATTAAAGATTTATAGAAATTAAACATCATTTTAAAAAAATGTTTTTCTTTATTTTCTTTACAGATTTTCAACATTTTGTTGAATTACAAATAACGATTAAAATCACAGACATAGAAAGGATCTTTCATATTTTATTTTGTTAGTAGTTTTAAACTACTGACAATATTATTATTGTACAGATATTTCCCTTTTTTT